AACTAACAAAGCTGGCCTGGAAGAAGTGCAACCAGAATGCTTCCTGGAAGCGAGAATGGCCAGACTTTGTCTTACCTACTTGGGTCATGTTGCCGGAAAAAAACATTCTTTAGAGAAGAGTATCATGCTTGGTAAAGTGGAGGGTCAACAAAGAAGGGGAAGGCCCTCAACAAGATGGATTGACACAGTGGCTGCAATGATGCACTCAGGTACAGCAGAGATTATGGAGCTGGCACAGGACCTGGCAGAGTTTTATTCAGCTGTACACAGGGTCACTATGAGTTGGAGGTGACTCTATGGCACCCAACAACAACATTTCTCTCCCTATATATGTATTTTTATGAGTGCATACATGTTGTTGTTTTTCTTAGTTGCCATAGAGTTGATTTTGACTTGTGGCAACCTCATGTGTGCAGAACAGAACTGCTCCACAGAGTTTTCTAGGCTGTGACCTTTCAGAGGCAGATTGCCAGGCCTATTCCCTGAGCAGCCTCTGGGTGAGTTAGAACTCCAACTTTTCAACTACTAATCAAGCCATTTAACCATTCATGCCACCCAGGGACTCCACATTATACCTCCTGAAGTAAGGTATAGGGACATAAATAAACACCAAAATCAAGTGTCTGTCTCTGGGATAGAATAGAGGGGAGTATCCAGGAAAGATATGCCAGGGAAGTTAAACTTTATTTGAAATTTTATTTCTTAAATTGAGTAGTTCCAGTTTTTTATATTATACACACACACACACACACATATGTATATATATATATATATACATATGTATATATATACACATACATATGTATATAAGGAGGGGTCACTATGAGTCAGGGCTGACTCAATGGCACATAACAACAACAACAACAACATATATATATCTGCATGTTGTTGTTGTTGTTATGGTGCCTTCGAGTAGGACCCGACTCATAGCAACCCCTCCTTGGGTTTCTGAGGCGTTATCACTATGGAAGTAGATTGCCCAACTTTCCTTCCGAGGAGTAGCTGGTGGATTTGAACCGCCAGCCTTCTGGTTAGCAGTCAAATACTTTAGGCACTATGCTACCAGAGCTCCTATATATATGCATATGTACATATAATATATAGAGAACATTTGTGTACCTCTGAAATAATTTTTAAAATTTAATACACTTTGGGGAGTACTGGTCAGGTATTTTGTGGTATGTCTCTCAACTTGGATTTGTCTGACGTTTTTCTCATGATTAGAATGGAGTTGTGAGTTTCTAGGAGGAGAACAACAGAGGAGGAGTGTTATTTTCATTACATCCTATCAGGGATGCATCCTGGCACCATGACTTATCACTGTTGATGTTGACCTAAATTTTTTTTTACACTCCATTCTCATTAGGGATTTTAAGATGTTGAGTCTTACCAAATCAAAACCATGAGACATCATGACTGAAAAAAAAGGTAAGAATTAAACAAAAACAGTAAGAATTGCTGAAATCAGACCTATTTCTATTTAGACAAATTATAAGCAATTGTTTAAAGATAAAAAGAAATACAAATAACTCTGATTTTGTCCATTCCCTACTAATAAGATCTGTTTTTGAAAAACATTTTAGCTCTCCTTCTATGTCTAACTATCAAAAGAAAAGCTTCTGACCTGGGAAAAGGGGACAGGATACTGTTCCTACTAGCTTATTCAAGGTTGAATATACAATTAATCAATAAGGGAAGTATGGCCTAGGTAGTTTCCACATATAAGTTATGGCCAAACTGCACCTGAGTTCCTTCATGACAATGCAGTATTTGGGGAACTGCTTCAAATGCCCACTCTATTTAAAGATAACACACACATTTACAAACATGTCATCCAGTACCAAATGGTGTGCACAATAAATTATAAGACAACCAAAACAACCTTGCCCTAAAACAGAATGCTGATTCTGTTCTTCTTAGGGTTTCGGAGATGGTCATGAGATGGTAGTACCAGAGGTTAGTGTTTAAGTGATATTAGGTAGGCAACTTTTTTTTTTTTTATGTTTTCTCCACCATCACCCATACCATTCTCCACCACCCTACAGAACAAGCAAAAGCATAAAAACAAAATATTCAGCTACTCTGAATTCACACTCAAGTAATACACTCTACCTTCATGACTTTTCAACCTATCAATTTCTCTCTATAAAACATAATGCATAAGTTTTCTGCTAGATGCATTTCAAGACATAAAAAAAAAAAAAAAAAGGCAGTAACACTGAATTTAAACTAAGTTCCACCTATGAGCACCACCCTTCTTTCCCTGGTCCCATAAAAGTTTCAAAATATGACTAGCATATAATAACAAGTGGTGTTTTGACATTTAATCTTCAAATGAAAGTGTGGAAAAAGTTTTTACTCCTCCCTAAAAAATATACAAAACTGCATGTTTTTGCAAGAAAAAATAGTCATTTTAATACAACAAAAATTATATAAAATCTTTGAGAATTTTAAACTATCACTACACTTAATGCATTCAATTTTGTGGATCTGAAAATTAAAGCTGCTTCTATTTTATCAGCAAAAAAAATGTTCAGGAAATATATCACATATTTGACTCTGACCATGTTAATACAGTAACTTCTACAATAAAATAAGCAGACAAAACACAAAGGTTCTAAGTACTAAAAATAACACATACTGAGATAACTATATTAAAAGAAGCACATTAACCTAAACCAATTTTAAACATAGTTGCATTGTCAATTTGGTACCTGTTTTAAGACAAATCAAAGCTTATAACATGATATATAATGGAGGCAGTGTAGTGCAGGGTGGTATAGTTGAAACAGCCCTCCACTGACTCCTGTGAAAAATGAACAGGATCAACAAAGGAAAGTGTTGTTGTTGTTGTTGTTTGCCGTCGAGTCGGTCCCGACTCATAGCGACCCCTCCTTGGGTTTCCGAGGCAGTATCACTACGGAAGTAGGATTGCCCAACCTTCCTTCCGAGGAGTGGCTGGTGGGTTTGAACCGCCAGCCTTCTGGTGAGCAGTCAAGTGCCTTAGGCACTATGCTACCAGAGCTCCTAAAGGAAAATACATATAATATTTATACGATGCTTCTCAGTGTCAAAAAGCTTTATACATATTACCATGAAATTCTCCCAACAGGTAATTTGCTGTAGCATGAACAAATGCATTCTGGAGTAAGATCAACCCTGTATCAAAATATGAAACTCCCATTTTCTAGCTAAACAAATATCTGCAAATGAACCTCTCAATACACAACATGTTCTGGTTTTACAGTTGTTTGTTGTTATTGTTGCTTTTTTGTTTGTTTGCTTGATTTTGCTTTGGGGGGAAGGATTGGGGTAGTATGGGAGAGGAGGAGGTATCAGAGGGAATAGTGTTTTATTAGCAGGAACTGAAATCAACTTAATGGGTCAAGACTAACATTTTTTATTTCCTTTAAGGAGTAGGAGAAGGTAAAGCAGAGTACATCTGACACAGTAAGGGTAAGTATATTTTGTGAAAGTTTTGTTTCAGCTACATCTCTCTAAAGAACTTTATCTGTATATAGACAGAGATGTGTATATATATTGTGTCACAGTGTAAAATGTATTTCTTACTATGTGTTATGGTCCAAAAATCTGAAAGCCAGTAATTGTGATAGAACAGTCAGGATTTAAAAGTCATTGCCACAGGGTTTTATAAGGATTAAATAAGATTATAGATGGAAAGTAACTAGCATAGTCTTGGGTTCTATTTTTACAAAATATCATTACTTTAGGCTAATGAGGTGTTAGAATTCTAATTTCAGTCCTTTCCTTACAGGTATTAAAAATTTTTTAACCTAGTTTGTATAAGAAACGCATCACTTACAAACAGCTTTTGGGTTCCAACCTATGTATCTTTTTTCTACTGACACTAAACATTTTAAGACTTTTTTAGTACCTTGCGCTCATGTTCTTATGACCTTAAAGGTAAAAGTTCAGTGATTGACTAAAGACTCATTCAATCTTTGTCCATTCTGGTTTCAAATGAACTAATCCTGTATGAGAGCCAGTGGAAAAGAGGTTGGATAATAAGTGTTCCAAAAGTCAAATAAATGCTCCTAAGAATATGATGCAAAGAAAGTGACAATCTGCCATGTCACTAATATTTTACGTGCAATCAGCTCAGAGCAGATAAAGATATTCTTAACCACAGTAATGAAACAAGTCTTTGTGCACCAAAATGCTTTCAGAGACCTTCCATTATATGCCAACCAATGAATTAAATCACACCATGCTCCACCCACCAACACCACCACTATGACAACTAATTAAATTTAGGACATTAACACTTTTGCTTATAATATCCTACCCTAAAAGAAAAGTTTAATAACAGACTAAACGCACAGGAGGCTAATTATTAGTTACTAACTGGGAGCTCTAGTGGCATAGTGCCTAAGGCATTTGACTGCTAACCAGAAGGCTGGTGGTTCAAACTCACCAGCCACTCCTCAGAAGGAAGACTGGGCAATTTACTTCCATAGAGATACTATTCAGAAACCCAAGGAGGGGGTCGCTATGAGTCGGATTCAACTCAATGGCAGGAAGTTTGGTTTGGTTTTTAATTTACTGTTTAAAATTTTTATACATATTTATATCCCTATCATCTTTCTCCAGATACTCAATTTTCGTTATCTGTTCCTTATGTATCCTTCCAGAAATATTATACATCTATAAAATCAAAAATGTATTTTCTTGTTTGCCTATTTACTTGTTTTTTAAAATTCCTCCAGAGACATTTTATGCATATTCCATATATATGCAAAAATGTGTGTGTGTGTGTGTGTGTGTGTTACATGTGTTCAAACACAAATATATCATTCTTCATTGCCTTTTTTTTTTCCCCAGTAAACAGATTTTGGAGCTCCTTCTAAAGTCTTTTCACTGATGACACTGTGTAGATATACGACAATTTATTTAATAAGGTTAAAAGGTCTAAGTTTAGTGGTAGGAATGAGGATGTGTGTCAGAGGTAGGCACTGAAGTCAGAACACCTGCACCCTTACCTTCTTCTGAAGAACATTAACCTTCCGCTCCTTCACATCCAGCATGTCCTTGAGGTCATGTATCTCTCCTGCTTGTGTGCCCTTCTCCTCAGCCATCTCCTGAATTTGTTTTGTCTTCTTATTCAGCATGGTTTCCTTCTCTTCCAAACGCAATCGAAGAGCATCCACCTAAGAACGTAAAATTTTTTGCAAATGATCAATTTAAAAGAAAGGAATAGAGTATAATCCCTTCCAAATGTCTATAGTTGCTACTTACACAGTAAATCTTTCATTAAAATCAAACAAATAATATTCTACATATAATTGTTACTATTTAGGAATTAAACTCTCAAACTTTGTGGGCACTTTTATAAAAATACATTTTAAATCCATTACAGTTACACTGATTATACCAGAATAAATAGATCTGAATCAAAGAGACAAAATGGAGAATTGCTATAAAGAAGTTATAAAGAAGTTGAGTTTTATACTTCTGTAAAAGTAGTTTCTCTAACTTTCTGCCCCTGAAATCATCAGAAGGACTTAATAAAACAGATTACCAGCAGTCCAGTGCCTTAGGCACTATGCTACCAGAGCTCCCAATCATGCACTTAGTTATCAATATAAGGCAAAAGCAAAGGCCTACTCTCAGACCCCAGCTAAAGTTTAATGTGTAGTTACACTTATCCCTGAAGTTGAACAGATTTTATTAGATATAAATTTAACATACTTAGAAATCTAGTAACATTTTATAATCCATTGACAGCTTTTAGTTACCCCATGCATACTTACACATTAATTTGTGTATTTTTTTTTTTTTTTTTGCTTTTCTACTAAGGAATAGTATTTCAGCAAACATTTATATATTCGATTACAACAACAGAGAGAGGTATATTTCTTTCGCCTAAGACAGTTCTATCCCACTGATATACAATGTGAGGCCTATATGCGAGCCACCCACCACTCATCTGTCAGTTTGTTGTACTGTGGTGGCTTGTATATTGCTCTGAGGCTGGAGGCTATGCCACTGGCATTTCAAATACCAGCAGGGTCACTCATGGTGGACAGGTTTCAGCTGAGTTTCCAGACTAAGACAGACTTGGAAGAAGGAAGGGGCCATCCATTTCTCAAAGAATTGGCCAGTGAAAACCTTATGAATAGCAGTGAAACACTATCTAATATATTACTGGAAACTTTATGAATAGCCCTGAAACATTGTCTGGTATAGTGCCAGAAGATAAGCCCCTCAGGTCAGAAGACACTCAGAATATGACTGGGAAAGAGCTGCTTCCTCAGAGTAGAGTCAACCTTAATGATGTGGATGGAGTTAAGCTTTTGGGACCTCCTTTAGCTAATGCGGCAAACTCAAAATGAGAAGAAATAGCTGCAAACATCCATTAACCAATGGCACATGGAATGTAGGAAGTATGAATCTAGGAAAATTGAAAGTTGTCAAAAATGAAATGGAACACCTAAAGATCAGTATCTTAGGCATTAATGAGATGAAATGGACCGGTCTGGGCCATTCTGAATCAGACAACCATGTGGTTTATATGACAGGAATGACAAATTGGAGAGGAATGGCGTGACATTCATCATCACAAATAATGTTTCAAAATCTATCCTGAAGTACAATGCTGTCACAGTGATAGGATAATATCCATATGCCTACAAGGAAGATCAGCGATGGGCTCAGGTACAGTAGAGATAGGTGAGGCTGGCACAGGACCAGGCAGTGTTTCATTCTGTTGTATACAAAGTCACTATAAGTCGGAGATGACTCGATAGCACATAATGACAACAACAACAAATTTTATTTAAGCCAATATAGCTAGATATTTATCATTTCAACTTGTAATCCATATAAAAATTATTAATGAGCTATTTTATATTCTTTTTCCTTGTACTAAGTCTTCAAAGTCCAGTGTATATTTTACATTTATATCACATCTCAATTTGAAATACTAGCTAACATTTTAAGGATTTAACAACCATATGTTACTGTTTATTTGGATAGTGCAAATCTAAGGTATCAAATATATTTCTACAAAACATCTGTCAGCTTTAACATCCTATATTATTTTTCCTGTCTGCCTGTGCATTAATCCACAAAGAAAAAGCAGGTAATATGAGTAATCACTCACATTAACAGTACAGTATAACCCTCAAGAATGATCTAACAACTACAAGGTAACTGAGAACCAGTACTGTGTGTTTAGTGGTACATACTCTTCAGTAAATTCTATAGAAAATTTCCTGGGAGACCAGTCTCATTTGAGACTGCTGTAGTTAAGTCATTAAGTATTTACAAATTATATTGGCTTATGTTGGTAAGGAAAAATGTGTAGAGAAACCAGATTTCACTCTGCTAAACTACATTTCTAGAGAGCCCTGTTGGCACAGTGGTTAAGAGTTCAGCTACTAACCATGAAGTCAGCAGTTAGAATCCACCAGTCACTCCATAGGACAGAGATGTGGCAGTCTACCTCCTTAAAGATTTACAGCCTTGGAAATCCTACAGTGCAGTTCTACACTGTCCTATAGAGTTTCTGTGAGTTGGAATCAACTTGATAGCAGTGGGTTTCAGTTTTTTGTTTTTTAAAACTACATTCTACAATCACTTCTATGCCAAGAGTCTTAACAAGCAAATAATTGGAGAAGTAATCTTTTTAGATCCCATTAATAATCCTTCAAGTACTACCATGTCCTCTCAATGAATATTCTATCACTTCTAATTTACTTCTTATCTACTTCAATAAATCATACATGATTACTGTTACTATCTTTTGGAAAGATCTACCTAAGAACTTTCAAACTCCGAAAATCTTTTTTTTTTTTTGAATCACAAATACTTTTTATTCTTTTATTTCTCCTATTCCTACTAAATCTACTCTTGATCCATAGCACAAACTCTGACTTATAAACAAATGTCCTTATCTCTTTCATCATTCACGTGATTTATCTTTCAATTGCCTTTTTTTCATGTCTACTTTACAAATCTTTACATCTGTATAACAGTTTTCTTCATCCAACTTTCTATGAAGTAGACATAAAAATAAAATGAAAGCAGAAAACTACATATGTCTGAGATTTTCTAAAAAAAGGATAAGATGAATGACAGATTATACAATATAGAAAAAATGTTTAGCAAACTTTAATATATAGCAATATAAGCTACCCAAAATGAAAAACAAGGAGAAAAAGAACAAAGCAGACAAACTTTACAAAACACTAAGACTTATGACATCAAAAAACCAAATCCACTGTGCACTGACTCAATTCTGACTCATAACAACCCTATAGGACAGAGCAGACTTGCCCCATAGGGTTTCCAAGGCTGTAAATCTTTAAGTAGACTGTCTCATCATGCTCCCTTGGAGCAGCTTATGGGTTTGAACTGCTGACCTTTTGATTAGCAGTCGAATATCTTAAGCACTGTACTACCAGAGCTCCTTGACTTATCAGACAGCTAATAAAAAAATAATGTTGATGTTGTTGTTAAGTACCGTCGAGTCAGACCCGACTTATAGTGACCACTCCTTGGGTTGCCGAGGCAGTATCATTACGTAAGTAGATTGCCCAACCTTCCTTCCGAGGAGTGCCTGGTGGGTTTGAACCACCAGTGTTCTGGTTAGCAGTCAAGTGCCTTAGGCACTACACTACCAGAGCTCCTAATAAAAAATAATAAGAGCATGGTATTAGTATAGGAATAAATAAATACATCACAGCAACAGAGCCCAGAAACCAACCCATACATACAAGGAAATTTTGATCCCTAACACATTCAGTAACATTTATTTTCTAGCATAGCATGTAATTTAATGAGGAGACAAGGTATACACTGAGAAAAAATATTTAAAAATAATGTATTTCATAAAGGACTTCGATCCACAGTACCTAAACTCTCAAATCTGAGGGAGAGCAATGTGGAACAAAACTAAAAATCATTTGGAAAAAAAAAAAGGGAGAGAGGGGACCAGGTTTGCTGGTCTGATAGAGCCTGGTGGAACCACTGAGACTGGCCCCTAGCTGCCCTTCAGGTCTGGAATTGAACCCACACCTGTGGCTGCCAGCCAAACAAAAGACAGGGATATGAGGTGAACATTTACCTGAGGTAGATATATTCCATGGAGAGAACAATCATGGGAGAAAGAAGGGTTGTTTATGCATAGGAAGATAGCTCAGGGGGCAGGAGTGCATGGAGGGATGGACACAGGGAAGAGTAACTATCAAGAGGAAGTGGGAGGGGAGCAGTTGCATTGTGGTAAATTATAGTCAATGTCATGAGACAAAGTGTATGTGAACTTCTGTATGGAAAGTGAATTTGCTCTGTAAATTTTCACCCAAATCACAATGAAAAAAAAAAAAAAGAAAACTCTCAAATCTCAAGAAAATAACAACCAATCTTAAAAATGGACAAAAGGTATAAAAGAATATATGGTAAATAAGCATATAAAAATATTACTATTAGTCATTAGGAAAATACAAATTTAAAACCACAATGAGATCTCACTATACACTATTAAAATGGCTAAAAGTTAAAAGACTGACCATACCAAGTATCAGCAACTATGTAGAAAAAAAAAAAACTTTCATAAACTTATGGTGGAAATGTAAAATCACTTTTGAAAATAGTTGGTTGGTCAGCTTCTTAAAAAGTTAAGCATACATACACCTCCTATGTGACCCAGCCATATCATACCCAGGTACTTACCCAAGACAATGAAAGCACATGTCCTTACAAAGACTTACACACAGATATTCGTAGCATCTTTATTCATCCTAGCCAAACCGGGAACAACACAAATGTCCATCAACAGGTGAATAGATTAAAAAAAAAAAAAAAAAAAAAAAACTGTGTTGCTATATCTATATAACTGGAAAACTATTCAGCAACAAAAAGGAATGAACTATTGATACATGTTATAACAACTGTCCTAAACGATAACTGTATCCTGATTTTGGTGGCTGAATACAACATGGATAGAACTCAAAAGGAGTTCAACACAAAAGGAGTATCAAAACATATTGATACACATTATAACATGGATGACTGCTAAAATAATTATACCAAAAGAAACGAGACTATCCCCCAAAAAAGGGGGGTTACATAGTAAATAATTCAATTTACGTAAAACTTTAGAAAGCAAACTAATTACAAGGTCAGAAAGTAGGTCAGACCTTGTCTG